TATCAGAAAAAAGTGATGGGGAGATATGGGAGGAGTTGGAGGGGAGGGAATGGGCATGGATTTGATCAAAACACTTTCTATGCATGTATGGAATTCTCAATAAATTATTTATTTTTTAAAAATTCTGAAACCGGAATATATTTATCCTTCTACAATTTGATATTTGGGTCTTAGCTTCTAAAACTCAACTGATATCTGCAATATGCTATAGAGCAATATGCTATAGACAATGGAAAACAAAAACAAAAAGCACAAAAACCTGATATGGTGGTATTTGCATCCACAAATTGACATCTATTGAGCTATCATAATATAGTCACTGTGCTATCAAAATAGTCACCAGGGCTAGAGGTATAGCTCAGTGGTAGAGTGTGCTTAGCATGCCTGAGGCCCTGGGTCTGATCTGATCTGTAATACTTGCCAAACTGCGCACGCACACACAGAGATAGTCACTATACAGCCACTCTGACGGTTTAAACAGCAACTAAAAATTTATTGTTTTAATCTATTTGTAACTTTCAATTGCTTGTGAATATATAAATTTCATGCAAACTGTGCACTAGAATAGGTTGCCATAGCTACAGCATATACAGTTTTTATTTACACAAAATATAAATATCTTAATCATTAATAAGCTGGCTATACACAATTTACATTGTATTTATCCAGTTTCACCTAATGTCCTAGAATGAGCACTGGTCTATAGCATGAGGCAATAAAAGAGGTACTTATTTTCCAGCCTCAATTTTGTCACCTTTGAGCAATATGATCTTGAAAAAGTCCCTTTTACTTTCTGGATCTTCAGTCACTCAACCAAGATTTGAATACCCAAGATGAACCAGACATTATTTTAGGTACTAAAAAGGAAGTAACACATACCTAAATAGATCATTTAAACAATGTGGCTGTGTAATGAGAGGTGCTGAGAATATTCTGGAAATACAGCAGAGGAACACATAGGGAGTAACACAAGACTTCTTGTACAAAGTGAAGAGGAGTAAGCTATTCACCAAATAAACAGTTGGGAATAAAAGACTTCTTTTCCACAGTAGAAAATGAAACATAATGAACAAGGTAAAATTCTTCAGTTATCAGGAAGAAAACTGAAGGGGGCCCTGTATTACAGGGATACAGGAGTGAAAGTAGATGAAACTAGAGAGTTAGGCAAGGGTCCTGATATAAAGTTTGGAAACTATCCATGGACAACAGAGAGCCACAGAACAATTTAAATAAGCTAAATTTACATTTCAGGGAAGATTACTAAGAATAAAGAAATGTGGAACATGGATCTGAGAGACTTATACAGAAAGCTCTGAACTAGACAGTAGTTAGAAGGAAAGATTAAGATTGGATAAATTTGAGGAATTCTGAGGAAAAAGAATCAGCAGTGACAATTCAATGGTTATAGAAGGGGTAAGGCCGAAGGATGAGTCAAAAATAACTCCCCTTAGGGAAAAATAGTTTCTCCATCTATATTTTTAAAACTTAAAAAACCACATTAATACATTCTTCACAGCCCAGCATACAAATCAATGAGTATTTGTGGGATGGAGATGTAAGTCAGTGGTAGGGTGCTTGCTTAGCATGGAGACCCTGGATTTAGAACCACAGGGAAAAAAAGTAACCAGACCTATGAGCACTTGTGAATGTATAAATAACACTGAAAAAATGTTTCACAAAATAAAATAATATGTATCCTTAGTTTGTGCCATGCTCCTACTATTTTCTATTAGCCCCATCTACAGGGGCTAATAGATAAAATACTGCCCTGGCTGCTATGAATAAGCAATGACAGTGCCATAAACAAAAATAGAAAATTGCAAAGGTCAATACAGATTTAATGTAGGAAGAGATATTCAAGTAATTCCATTTCTAGAGTTTTACAGGTGAACTACAAAGGCATAGAGTTCTAGTTTGGTTTCCAGAAAACTGCTTAACTAGCATAGTTACTGTCTCCATTGCCAAAGATCATCCTCAAAAGAAGTAAGGAAAACATCAAGGTGGAAACTGGTACTGTGTGGAAGGGTAAAAGAGAAAAGGGACTGCAACGATTTCTGTTCTGAATTTACCTCTGCAAAATCTTGAGACTTTCTGGGACTTGGATCTCTGGTCCAGACTTTCTTGTGAGCAAATTCAGAGCAAGGCAGAAACACAGAGCTGGTGGAGAGCTAGGAAAACAGGAGGAGGCCAGGGCATTTGCTTTCCCTCCATGACCTTTCCTAAGTCCCAGAACTAATGGGCTAAAATTTAAGGAAACTGCCAGGTATGATGGCACATCCCTATAATCCCAGCACTGGGGAGGCTGAGACAGGAGGACTGCCAAATTTGAGGCCAGCTTGGGCTATGCACTGAGACCCTTACCTCCAAAAAAAAAAAAAAAAAAAAGACAAAAAAACAATCTAAGAAGAGGTTAGAGCACTTGCCTAACACACAAAAGACCCTTGGTTGTAACCCTAGCACTGCAAAATGAAATAAAATAAAACCTAAGGCATATTTTCTAATTACTGATAGGTAATGTGGACCCCAAAATTAAAATCAAGAAATACAGGATTGAGCCTGGCACGGTAGCACATGCAATCCCAGTACTTAGGAAACAGAGGCAGGCAGGTCTCTAAGAGTTGACGATAACCTGGTTTATATAGCAACCTCCCAGCCAGCCAACACTACATAGTGAGAATTTGTCTCAAAAAAAAAAAAAGAAAATTAAGATGGGGCACTGCCATCTTAATTCATATTTGAGTGGGCGGTGGAGATCCTGTTGC